ATTCTAGTATAGTCATACTTGTCCATTGTTTGACCATGCCCAATCATTTTTTGCGTTGGCATCCTCTTCAACAGTGCCTTGCATGATGGTCTTGCACTGATAGATAGATAGATAGATGTCATCATAATATAGACATAATTTATTTCAGTAAATGCTTTTTTTCAAGTAAACAATATTACATTTACCGGTCTGAATATTCGAGAAATTTCGTAGAAAATATGTACCGCGACAGAAATCGAACCTGCAACCCCAATGGAAACAATCTTTTGATCTGATATGTTGTTAACATTTCAGCCACAAAGAAGCGTCTGGTTAAAAAAGTTTGAATTACTGTTTACAAAACTTTTCTCGACAGACACTTCTTTACAGGATTTTTCAAAATTAAACATCATCTTCATCATATGTTTTTTTTTTTTTGTAATCATATGGGGAAGGGAGATGAATGCAGAAACCATATTGAATCTCCTCCACAATGGTTTATCAAGAACAGCCATCAGCAATTCTGGTATAGTTATACGTGTCCATTGTTTGGCATTGTCCAGCCAGTTTTTACGTTAGCATCCTCTCCTAAGTCCGCTTTCGACATTGCCTTGCATGATGGTCTTGCACAGGCTGTCGTGCCTTGTAAATGTGTCCAAACCACGCCATTTTTCTCCATTTTGAGTAAAAGAAGAGGTTCTTGGCAATTCAACAAAGTTTTTGAACCCTTTTCCACAAAAACTCATTGGTTTTATGTTCTCAGTAGAAGATGCCAATGTGTTTTCTCATGCATTTGTCCTCAAGCGCCGTCTCTCTCTTTCTACCAACAGTGTCCACGTTTCACATTTTAAATACAGAAAGCATTCAAATCAAATTTCATATATTCTACATAAACATTTATTAAAATTAGCAATCGACTCTGACTAAATCTACAAAACTTTTTCTCTGTCATCTTACTGTCATGATGCTTATGCCCTTCCGTACATTCCTAGTTCACTAATTCTTTTTCGATCAAGAGTATTTTATTAAAATTCTCAAATAACGTTGATCCTTTTATTATCTAATCATTTTCGATTAAATCAAAATATTTGATATTTATTTCCTTAAGTGAAACAAAATTGTTCAAATTTGAGACAATTCACGATTTCTCATAGTTTTATTCCTTTGTTCTAAACCGATCGTTTTAATGGCCGTGACAGAAAAAAGCATGAAAAAGTACCCTAGGGAAAAAAGTCATAGATATAAGCTATAACTTCCTTTAACTTATAATAAATAATAATAAAAATAAAATAACACTTGTATATTTATAGAAATTTATAGAAATAAACAAAATTAATATTTAAAATTTAACTAATACTTTGGTAAACGTTTCTGGATATGGTGGTATTGGTAGAATTTCCTTTACTGAAAAATTTGGAATAAAACAAAATGATTCAAGGATTTAAAATAAATACTATATTTTTATTCATTTTCTTTAGAGTAATTGGTGAGCCCTTTGTTATTCGGTGTAGCAAAAAGTTCCTTAATAAGGCGGATATTGATAGGAGTCTGGAGAAATGTCTGTTAGTGGTAGTTTGAAGTCTGGCCATAATAGAGATAGTAATAATCTTGGAAATAGGACAGTGTCAATCAACTGTATTTTCTCGGCCTTTAGCAGGACAGAAATGTCATTAGCAGATAACCTCTGAACTACTTATTCACTAGTCACGCATGGTTGGTTTCGGCGCGGTAGCGTCTCTGTTCGTCACCTCGCTGTGTCTTATCTCGCTGTGAGGTGTCAACTTATATACGTTTTGACCAGTCTTCGAGAATGTGGCGCGAACGTTGATTCAAAAAAAAACTTTGTGATTTTTTTTTTTTTTTTTTGATTGGCCAAAATCTTTTCGTCACAAATAATTAGGCTCTGATCCTGCAAACTTCCGGTGTTTTACGGTCGGGTTCAGTTTTTTCTTCTTCCTCCTCTCTTTATTTGAGGGTTGCCTTCTCGTAAGTTAAGAGATGTATAGATAAGAATAAAAAAGACATAGAATGAAAGACACAAGGGTTTTGAAGGAAAACCCAAATGCCTTAGACATTTGAAAAGGAGAAAAGAAGGTTTGGAAAATTTAACACACACAAGGTATATTGAAGGCACAAAGGAAATAAATAAGCAGCGCATAACCCCTGGCCAACGAGCTCGTGTTAATGGATGGCAGAACAGGGAATTAAAGGGGTAGTAAAAAGACAAATATCGCTAAAAACTACAAAAGATAGGAAGTAGTGGAGAGCCATGATCACCCACGTCTTGACGATACACGTGTGACGTCGTCCCCCGGTCGCAGCGCCAACTGTGACGTTCTATCCTGATCTACCACGGCGCCAGTTGTGACGTGGTCGTTCCAGGGTCCTATCCTGGCCACGACACCAGATATGACGTCCCTAAACAGCACCACCAGACGTCTTCGCCTGACGTCCGCCGTTCCGCGCGTCGCAGTCCAAACGTGACGTTCGCTGTCCTCGTGACGTCCTGGGTGTCGCTGCGGCACAAACGTGACGTTCTAACCCTTTTGGTGATTCGGGTGGGAATCTGGTTAGATTTGATATCAGCCTCGCCGTTCCCAACTCGCTTCCAACGCCTGGTTACCAAGGTAACTGCATTGATCTCCAGTCTGCCTACCCACGTTGTGAATTGATCTTAGACAGACGAGATCAAACAGGGGTTGGGGCCGTAATGCAAATTGAGTTCAACGGGGGTGATAACACACAAATATGCATAAAAAAAGAAAATAAAATGAAAACTCAAAAAGTTCAAAGTATCAAAAAAAAAAGGTAACAAACTTTTTATGTCTAGTTGTTCGGTACATAGGACTGCATCTATCTCCCGACCCGTTCTGTGGATTGTGACACGTCGTTTTCGCTAGGCAAGTTTTAACGCTTCAAGTTGTCTGCTCTCTAAGAAATTTGTGTTTCGGTGTGTCTTTGGACGAAAGTCGAAAAAAAAAACTTATTTCTGTGGTCTGGTTCTAAGTCGCTCTTCAAACTAATTGTTCTTGGTTGAAGAAGAGTCCAAAATTTTGCGTGAATCTTGGTCAGCTATCTTGCGGTTTCTGGGCGCTCATCTCATCTCTTCTCGCTGTCGGCTGAACTCAAACTTCTTTCTCTGAACTGAACTCTGCACTCATCTCCTGCCAGAGTCCGACAAACTGATTTCTGTCTGAACTCTGGGGCCTTCGTTTTATTGACGCCGTCAACCAAAACCTGCCCGGGGTGGGTCTGTCGGCGTCAGGGGTTTTCTGATAATTCTAAATACGCCGTCAAAAAATATCCGGGGGTTCCTCGATAATTCTAAATAGAAATAACCCTTTTATTTCTGGTTAGGGATTTTCCACTCTTTTCCATTTTTGGTAACTTTTTTTTTTCACTCCCACTTTCTCACCATGCTTCTGAGGGGCGTGAACTGCCCTCCCCACTTCTTCGTATCGGCTTCTCATACTTATACTCTGGATGGGGGCGTCGACTGATTTTTCTTCGTGCGTCACGTGACCGCTCTCGGCCAATGAGGTCTTGGTCGGGTATCTTTCCTCCTCCTTCGTGCGTCATGTGATCACCACTTGGCCAATGACGTCTTAGTCGGGCGTGAACAACCCGTGGCTTTGTTTTGGAAAAGAAAATACCTTGCTTAAAAAAAAAAATTAATGAAATCTCCTCTTTCTTTTTTTCTTTCTTTCAAATCGCCGTTATCATGAACGGTTAATGTGACAACTCTTTGTTCAACACGTGGCGTTTGTCAAGCAGTTTATCGCTAGATTGGATTATGACATGGTCTAAGAAAGAATTTTCTCCAAGTTTTCAGCCAATTTGGCGTCTCCAAAGCAGAAATAAAAAAATATTTCATTTTCCTTCGGTTCATGTGTTTGATAACAAAATTTTATTATCGCAGGGCAAAAGTCTATTCTGTCAAAAAAAAAGCTTTAGCCAGTGAAACTACTTGTGTGGGATTTTAATTTTCCATACCCAGCCAAGGGCCCCAAGCCACACCTGTGTTTTTCGTCAATTATCAAAATCTAACGTTCCAAAGTGGATTTCTTCTTTTTGGTGACATCTCTTGATAACACAATTCCATTTTTCGCGGATAAGCGGAAATCGGTCAACGCTTGTTCGCAGGTGGCCTAGATATTTTTCGTACCAATCTGATAGATAACTTATCCCACTCAATCTCATTGTCATTGAAATGAAACTCTTTTCGACATTTGATACCTATCAAAAATAACCCTTTTCTTTCTTATTCCCGTCTCGTGTGTGTGTGTGTTCGCCTATGACCCGTCTTTATTACTTTTTTTTTTTCTTTTTTTCTTCGTTTTTTTCTTTCTTTCTTCCAAATCGCCTGAATGCATGGCGGTTCAATCCTCTTAAAAAAAAAAAAGAAAGAATTATTCTTAAAACCTAAAATACATTTCGGCCTTAAATAATCCTCAAATGGTTGATAAACCGTAAAAAAGCAAGTCATATATCTATAAATATATCTTTCAAATCGCCTGGATGCATGGTGCCACACACGGCACATAGAAGATTAGTATTAACTTTTTAAAGGCTGTTTATCGTTTGTTCTCAAACTGTTATATCTCTTTCTTTCTTTTAGATCAACTCACAGTATTCAATTGTCCTTTATTTGAATCTTGCGGATTTTCGGTGACGTCGTTTAAGGACTATAAAAGAATGAATATTATCTTCCCCTTCCTCTTTCTTTCTTTTATTCCATGATATAGCAGTGCCCCCACTGGAGAAGACTTCTTTTCCACCGGGGAGAACTTCTTTCCCCCAAACGACTGAACTCTCACACACACACACACACACACACACACACACACACACACACACACACACACACACTTTTACTCATTATTTCCATAAATTGTAATTTTTCTGAAAATATTTCCTTGTTATTTTAAACAATGAAATGTTTGTTTTTGTTTATCATTTAACTGTGGAAATTTGGTTGTCACTGATTTTAGCCAAGCTAGAAATAATGACCGTAATAATTGTCACCTTCTCGTTTTCGGCGACATTTGCAAATTTCCGTAGCGAATAAAAGGTTTGGTGACTATTGTTGCATTAGCAATGAGGCTTAACAAGATATCCCTGCTGCAAATTAAAAAAAGAAAAAAAAAAGAAAAACGAAAACTAAAAAAAAGCTAAAGGAAAAACTTTAATTGTTCAAGTTGTACTCAACTCACTTCCAAAGGCCTGTGTAGCAAATCGTCTTTCATGAATATTCAACAGAATTTTGGGTGGATTTCGCATCGGGTAGACAGAAGCAATTTGTCATTGGCGAAACTTCTTTGTTATTTGTTGGTAGGTAAGTCACGAGTGAAGGCTTTGGTAGATTGGTCGGTCGTTATTCTTGCTGGTACACTTATCTACACTGTCAGGCCGGTGTTAGCAAAGCGACACTACAAATAAATTTCAGCGCCACATCAAAGGAGCTGCGAGTTGCCGCAAATCCATTGTCCTTCTGGTGTGTTTGCAGATTACACTTTCTCTCCCCTTCTCTGTCTCTATTTGCCACTCCACTCTCTCTCCCTCTCTCTCTCTCCCCTCTCTCTCTCCCCTCTGACACTCCGTCTCTTTCTCTGTCTGTCTCTTTCTCAAGATATGAACAAGACTGATAGATAGATAGATAGATAGATAGATAGATAGATAGATAGATATGAACAGAGATAGATATATATAAAGATAGAGACTTCAATTATTTGAGAAATTTATATTATGGATAACAGACTGCGCTCTCTCTCTATTCTTTCTCTTTCTCTTTTCTCTCTCTCTGTCAGGATATTGAATAAAATAGATAGATAGGAACAGATTTAGATAGATAGATAGATAGATAGATAGATAGATAGATATGAAGAAAGTGAGATAAATATATAGAAAGATAGATAAAACATACTCAAAAGATTGACAAGATAGATAGATATTAAAAAATATTTTAGAACAGTAGTCTTAGAAACAAACACATTTTTTCTCTCTCTCATCTCTGTCAAAATCTTTTCTTCAAATAGAATATTGAATAAAATAGATAGATAGATAGATAGATAGATATGAAGAAAGTGAGATAAATATATAGAAAGATAGATAAAACACTCAAATAGACAAACAAAAAGTGTAGGAAAGGACAACGTGTTTCCGTGTAAATTACACACTCTCACACATCTCTCTCTCTCTCCTCTCTCTCTCTCTTGTCAAAAATTTTTTCTCTTTCTCCATCAGAATATTGAATAAAATAGATAGATAGATAGATAGATAGATAGATAGATAATGTTTGCATTGTAATTGTCATTCTGAAGTGTATGTTTGATGTTGGGCGTTTCTTGTTAGCATGTTTTTTTGTTGTTATTTTTTTATTGTTTGTTTTTTTACTCCCGGGTGTTGTAGACCTCAAACGATCTCTTTCTTCACCCTGTATAGATGGCGGGAATTGAAGTTGAGGTACTGTCCGATGAAGGTTGCCTTGTGAGATACACATATTTTGAACTTATTCTCTGTACAAGTTGTTAGTACATCCAGGTAGGATAGCTGATTATAATATTCTTCTTCCATTGTGAACTGGATTGATGTCTTTATTGAGTTCACATGGTCCAGCAGTATTTGTATAGCTTCCCTCTGAAGCCAGATTATGAAGGTGTCATCTACGTATCTCAGCCATACCGTTGGTCTTTTGGTGTCGTTTCTAAAGACATTTCCTCGAAGTATACTATGTATATGTTCGCCATCACTGGTGAAAACGGTGAATCCATAGCCAAGCCTGTTGGTATATGGCAGATTCTATTTGGAAGAATTGTGTCTGGTCTCTACACAGAATGTCAACATTTTCAGTAGCTTATTTATTGGAATGTTATTACGTTCTCCCAGAGTGGAGTCTGATTCCAATTGGCTTCGAACCACTGTTAGGAACTCATCTGTTGGAACTCTGGTGAACAGGCTTACCACAACCAAGCTTACTATCCGATTGTTATATCAAGATAAGCTTACGGCCCGATTGTTGGATCAATTTCACTAGGTGTTCTAAGTTTTTAACACAGGATATCTTCCCGGTTGACTATATCAACTCGGAATCTGCTCAGCGGATGACATGCTGAGCCCCTTCAGGTGAATATAGATCTCAATCGAATACAAATTTTGTGAATCTTGGGGTGACCATATATGTTCCACAAGTTGGGGTAACGTTGAGTCAGTTGTCTATACTTATTCAGTGCGAACTAGTACTTGTCCTTAGAATTTGTGGCAACTTCCGCTCTTCCTCTCACTTTTCTATAGCTGCCATCCCCAATTAGGCTTGCTAATATTTTGGAGTATAGCAATGAAGAGTTGCCTTTGTCACTTGGTAGTATGATGATATCCGTATCACTCTGTAAGTTCTTGATTGTAAAACTTTCTTCTGTTGTGATGTTTGATTTTTTTTCACACATTTCACCCCAAGCAGAGCGGGCGTGCCACTAGCATACAAGGGGTTACAGAGAGTGAGATTAAGAGTAAAGAGGGATGTTTGAGGAAAGGATATAGAGAAGGATATATAAAGTTTTTATGTAGAATTGGTCGTTCTTATATTCTATATTGCATTGTAAAAAATGACATTATATACAAACGCGCTGTATTTTGATCGCAATTATCCGCGTCTATTGAGAAACGAAGCTTTTCAACTTTAATCCCTATGAATCTCTATATTTCAGGTCCCAATACACATGCAATTTTTGTGTTCTAGTGTCTCCAGCACATATTTCATTTTATAAGTGCAACATACTCCAGTACGAGTGAGAGAAACATCGATATCTCATTCACAGATTTCCCCTCAGAACGATGAGGTTTTGAACTTTGCAAATGGCTAAATGAACACCAAAGAACAAGCTATCAAAGGCTTTTGTACAGTTCTTACACTATAGATGTTAGCAGGTTGCGTGTTTGCGTGTATTCTAGGTGAAGGAGGGTGTTTGGTTTGGTTTGGTTTGGTTTGGTTTGGTTTGGTTTTGTTTTGTTTTACGGCATATCAACCTCAATAGGTTATTTAATGCTAACAAAATTTATTGCTGGTAATATGTTTTTTCTTCAAAAATCTATTTCTGTAAATATTTTTCCTTAAAGAAATCTATACTTGGTCATATTTTTTTCAAAGAATGTATAGCTCTTTGTATTGCTGGTACTTTTTTTAATGTATTGCTGATAATAATTTTTCCTTCAAAAATTATTGCTGGTAATATTTTTTTTTTATTACAAAGTATTTCTAGTATTAAAACCTATTTTTACACAAGTTTGGGTGTTAAATATTTGCCCATAGCTGGGACCCTAACAGGTGCTACCACTCCATGTCAGGGTGGACCTGGGAACACCAGCAATTAAGAGGTGGTTCCATGCTCTTCAAAACCTCCTGGTCAGTGGCCTTAGTGTTGGACGTAGGATGTAGTTTATCGTCATACCCAGGACGAGAAGGAGGGTGTATTCTAGGTGATGGAGGGTGTATTCTTGGTCGTGGAGGGTGTATTCTAGGTGAAGGAGCGTATTAAATTGGTAAACAAGGTTCTTGGTTCAGAAATACGTTCGGATAACAATGCTTAAAATAGTCGAGCTCAAATCCGCTTTACGCTGAGTTGAAACGACCAATTCACTTACTTCATGAGCAGGGCTGCACGTCTTTTCCGGAAATGGGGTCATAAAATCGCGCATGTGACCAGAAACCTTTTCCGGTTTCTTTAACTTGCATCATGGGAAAATGATTTACTTTTCTTTATTATTTTATTTCCTGGTTTTATTTTATTTTCCTCCAACACACATACTCCACTGTCAATCGTTTTGTCGTACGGAAGCAGAAAATATGAGCTACAAGTATTTTGGCCTACAGGATTAATACATATATATCCATGATGTGTGTTCAATCGATGAATGAAGATGACCACTATTTAAACTTATGCGACTCTGTGTTTTCTATGACTAGAAACAAAGAAAAGAGGACTGAACTGTTACGGAATGTCAGTCCACCTATATAGCAGTGAATGGTGGACAATCTCTTCATTATGAGACCACCATGGATTGAACATGTGTGAAATGATGAAGTTTTAGAGAAAATGGAACCAAACAGTACTCTTCAGTATCTGTCTATATTTCTGAGGTATTACGTACATTATTTACAAAATTCGGACTATTGTCCTCAACTTTGTCGCCATATTTATTACAACGTTTCGGCCATCTTTAGGTGGTTGGAATGTCGAACTGAATCCTTTATTTCGCTCACTGGGGTAGACTGTTCTAGTTCCACGGGCCATGTCTAATGGATGTCAGTTATCAATTATCTCCTGTTAATTTCCCTCTGAAAGTTTTTCCACTGCCTTAACCGGGTATTGAACTCACACTCTTTGGGTCACTGGATCTAACCAACTCCTTTATCCAATATGCCATGTGTCCTTGAGGACATCTGTGTATGAATTTCTGGGTATTATAAACTTAATGTCTTCAGCAACTATTTTGCTCATATTGCAATTTTTTCTGTTATCATTGTATGTTTTTACCAGAGCTCATATTGCAACTTTTGTTGTTATTATCGCTTTTCTATGGTATTCCTTATTACTGGTTCCCATATTGTATTCATTTCTATGCTTGGTCGGCTCAGGAGATATTTTCTAGGCCACAAAATTTGATACTCAAAGGACATATTGAGCGCAAGAGGGACAGAGGACACCAGCGCATAAACCCTACCTAATGAGACTGGATGAGAGCAAATAGTTAAATATGGGGTTCTATCTCTGCAGATGGTATCGTTTCTGCTTTATTAAGGGAATTATGGAATATTATTGAATTCGCCAAAGAGCATAAAGACTGGGTTATCTGGACCATCCCGTCACAGATGAAGAAGAGACTCGAAGTAACAGAAATATGGTTCTACAGAAGGATGCTGAGAATAGCCTGGACTGGACACGTGAGCAACGACGAAGTTTTAGAGAAAATGCAAACAAAATGGACATTTATACCTAACATCAGGAATAAACAGTTAAATGTCTATGGCAGATGATGAGGAAAGAAGGCTAAGAAAATTGGACACTCGGAGGAGAGGAAGGGAGGGAAACAGCGCATAATAATCGGACACGGCACATAGAAGAAGAAGAAGATGAGAAGAAGAAGAAGAAGATGAGGAAGAAGAAAGGAAGAAGAAAAGAAGAAAACGGAAGAAGAAAAAGATGAGGAAGAAGAAGTGGGAAAAAGAAGAAACGGAAGAAGAAGAAGAAGAAGAAAAGGAAGAAGTGGAAGAAAAAACAAGAAACGGAAGAAGAAGAAGAAGAAAATTGAAGAAGAAGAAGAAGAAAAAAGAAGAAGAAAAAGATGGAAGAAGAAGAAAACGGAAGAAGAAGAAGAAGGAAAAAAAGAAGAAACGGAAGAAAAGAAGAAGAAGAAGAAGAAGAAGAAGAAGAAGAAGAAACGGAAGAAGAAGAAAAAGATGAGGAAGAAGAAGAAAAGGAAGAAGAAGTGGAAGGAAAAAGAAGAAACGGAAGAAGAAGAAGAAGAAGAAGAAGAAGAAGAAGAAGAAGAAGAAGAAAGGAAGAAGAAAAATTTGAGGAAGAAGAAGAAAAAAGGAAGAAGAGTGGAAGGAAGAAACGGAAGAAGAAGAAGAAGAAGAAGAAGAAGAAGAAGAAGAAAAAGGAAGAAGAAAAAAGATGAGGAAGAAGAAGAAAAGGAAGAAGAAGTGGAAGGAAAAAGAAGAAACGGAAGAAGAAGAAGAAGAAGAAGAAAGAAGAAGAAGAAGAAGAAGAAACGGAAGAAGAAGAAAAAGATGAGGAAGAAGAAGAAAAGGAAGAAGAAGTGGAAGGAAAAGAAGAACGGAAGAAGAAGAAGAAGAAGAAGAAGAAGAAGAAGGAAGAAGAAGAAAAGAAGGAAAAAAGAAGGAAGAAGAAGTGGAAGGAAAAGAAGAAAGAAGAAGAAGAAGAAGAAGAAGAAGAAGAAGAAGAAGAAGAAGAAGAAAAAGATGGAAGAAGAAAGAAAAGGAAAAGAAGGGTAGGAAAAAGAAGAACGGAAGAAGAAGAAGATGAAGAAGAAGAAGTTGGAAGAAGAACAAAAAAGAAGAAGAAGAAACGGAAAAGAAGAAAAGGAAAAGAAGAAAAGGAAGAAGAAGGAAGGAAAAAGAAGAAACGGAAGAAGAAGAAGAAGAAGAAGAAGAAGAAGAAGAAGAAGAAGAAGAAGAACAAACAGAAGAAAATGAAGAAAAAGAAGAAGAAGAAGAACAAACAGAAGAAGAAGATTAAATGAATGGATGCTTTTCTGTCATTATTATGTGTTCTATGAGCCTGG